ACAGCAGTGACCAAACAGTCCCACTTGGTCAGTCATAGCCTACCATGGCATGTGGGTCACAGGTTGTCTACTTACTCCCAAGGGTTTTTGTCTGTTTTGATTTTCAGTGCACAGCATTGAACTCAGGGCTTCCCATATGGCAGGCAAAGCACTCTACCACAGAGCTACATTCTCAGTCCTTTTTAAAATTATATCTTGAGACAGGGTTAAATTTGCCTAGCCTTGCCGTGAACTTGTGATCCTCTTGCCTTAGTCTCCCAAGCATCTGGGGATAAAGGCATGCAACATCATGCTCAACCTCTTACACCAAGTTCTAACATCATCTACGTTTGCTAAGTGATCCCTCTTACCCTGACCTCTCAGTGCCTCTGTGTTTTACTGCCTGTGAAACCAGGGTTCTGGTATTCATTACAGATCCACATGTGGCTAATTGGAACAGAAAAGGAAATCATACAAAGTATAAGTACCTGCAGAGGCATTGGAAGAACTGAAGACAAGTGTCTAGTTTGACCTTCTAGGAATATGCTCTCCCCAAAACAACACCTAGAACTGGCTCCCCGGGGAGTTACTCTCTGCCACAGTGAGGAAACTGAGGAGTCAGAAAGCAACTCAGCAGATGGACCACACTACTTGGCCAAGGTCTAGATAGCCCGGCCTCGTGCTGCATCTAGGCAGGTTCATGGAGTCCATCTGGGTCAAGGTATCCCGCCTTGAAAACTGCCCCTCAGAAATGTGCTGCTCACTCTTGGATAGTCTCTCTTCATCTTCCTGCTGGCCGGCTGTGGAGCCCTAGGAAGCCCTTAAATCGTCATATTGAAATGGCAGTGGTCCCTTTAGCCTAGGTTCTTAAACAACTACATATGAGTGGAGACACACACGCACCCATCCCTAACCGTACTGCAAACTGGATTTCTGTGGTAGTAAGCTGCTGGGATTTAGGACTCTTATCCATCCAAACAGTATTTTATCAGCTGATTCAGGAGGGGAGCTTAAGTGGTCGCTATTGCTTCCCCGACACCCCAAAACCCTTGCCTGAATCAGCAGATAGTGTGAAATCACCAGAAGCTTGAAAATATCTATTCAAACAATATGCTGGAGAACCAGGAAGTTAACCCAGGGTGGATTCACATGCCCACTGTGTTCACGTGGAGATGGACTGTGTCTCTTCCCAGGATCTGGGAAGGGGCATCAGTTCAGTGTCAGTGCCCCACAGCCCCTGAATCTGAGGTGGTCCCTCCCCATGGCACAGGATCCTGGCAAAGGCCAAATTTTCCCTCAGGAGAGACTGGAAGAAGAGTTGGTGTGGCCTTGGATGTTTCTGCTAAGTCTGTCCCTCAGCAGAAGTCTCCAGATCTGATCTGGGAATGACTCACATCCAGGAATTTCTAGAATTTTAACTCCCCTGTGCTGTGACCAAGTCTAGGACGTATTTCCGAGACCTAGGGTTTTTCCACCCCCCACCCCTTTTGCCGCTTTCTCCTTTTGTCCTGGAACAAAACCCGTGGCCAATTAATCACAGAGGCCACGCCACTCTATTGCCCATTGTAGTGGCCTTACTACTGGCTATGTGACTTCTGGCCCCAGGCCCTCTTTACTCTGCTTCCTGGCAGCATGACCCCTTCATCCCTGGCCCCCAGAGTTTCTGCCACGTGCTGCTGCTGCCCTCTGCTTCCCACTACACCCCTTCAGGTGGTGGTCCGGAGACCCTCCAGGCCCTCCAATTATTACATGACAGCTAAGCAGGTGAAGCACAAAATATTCTCCTCTCATCAGTCTTTGGGTGATTTTTCTCCATTAAGCCAAAGTATTAAACCTTTGTTCCCATGAGCTTTGAGAACCCATTTTAATTACCACAGCACAACACAGCCCCTTCCCAAGCATTCCACTTGATCAGTCTGTCCGATTTGAAAAATGGTGCAATTCTCTTGGTGTCCAAGTCTTCTCTTCCCAGATTTACTTTATGGTTTGGGGGGATTTGGGTTTGTTTTCTTTTTCTTTTTTTTTTTTTTTTTTTTTTTTTTTTTTTTTAATGGTCGTTCTGGATCGAACTCAGGATCTTGCACTTGCAGGGCAGGTGCAGCGCCACTGAGCTAAATCCCCGGCCCAAGATTTGCTTTAAATTGCCCCTATCCTGTCCTGGAAGACTGGGCTAAGACTTAGATATGGGTTTGGCTCACAGCCATTCCTCGGGCCTTTGAACCTGTGCTGCAGCTGCCTTTCAGCCCACTCCGGCCAGACCTGCACTGGGGTCTACTCTAGGGGCTCCTGGATGCTGTGGATGCCAAATCTAATGTCTGCTATCCACAGACACTTTGGGGCTTGGGTTTGCTCCAGATGGTTCTCCTCGTGGGCTCTGTCTAGTTCCTTGACAGCACTAGAAAGGAACTTGAGGGTTAGAGATTTAGCTCAGTGGTGCCAGTGCCTGCCTTGCAAGCACAAGGTCCCGAGTTCAATTCCCAGTACCAAAAAAAACAAAAACAAAAAAAACCTAGAAAGGAACTTGGAGCATTCCTGATAAAATACCTAACTAATATTCCCCATAATTGTGTGAATGGTACAATTTATTCTTGTGAATAGTCAGTCACCTGCCCAGATCACTGTCATTCACAGGTCAAATGATCTCTAACCAAAGGTTATTTCTGTGTCTGGTCTGACAGCAAAAAAAAAAATTTTTTTAACCAGGAATTGAACCCAGGACTTTTGTACTGCGCTACCTTCCCAGTCCTTTCCAATTTGAGACAGAGTCTCACCAAGTTGCAAAAGTGCTCAGACGAGCCTGGTACTTGGAATCCTGCCTCAGCCTCCAAGAGTGCTGGGATGAGGGGTGTGTGCATGTCTCTGACAGTGATGCTTGCTCCTTCCCTGAGTGAATCTTTGAAAGGGCCTCTCACAGCTTTCCTTTTTGCACTCAAGATTGTATTAAAACCTGACCTCTGCTGAAGAGGTGCCTTCCACAGCTCCACGTGGTTTCCTCATTTCTCTACCTTGTCAGCACTGGGATAATCTCCACCAGGCCCCAGGCTTCAGTTTTCAGCTGAAATGCTCTCTCCTCTGGAAGAACCACCCTGTTGGCCCTGCCCAGCACCACCCATCACAGCACCTACACATTGACGACAACATCATGGAGCAGACCCAGGAAAGTGGGAGGGAGTCATCTGGCCCCAGGAGCTGCTGCAGAATTCCTTCACCAAGGCCAAATGTTCCCACTGATGCAGCTCAACCATTTCACCCTCCCCATGCAGAAGCCTCTCCCATTCCTTGTCCAAAGTGCAGAAAGAAGAGACCTGGCGAGCTCATCGCAAAGCCCCTCTTCCAACTGTGGGCGTTTGTCCCAAATTAGCAGTGCTTCAGGGATCTAAAGCCACTTCCTGAACCCCAGCGGGCTGCCTCCAATTGGGGCTCTGTCAATGCAGAAAAAGAACTCACATCTCCAAAATAAAGGACAGCCTGCAGAGCTTGGCTTTGAACACACCTACCTGGCAGCACACGTGCGTACTGCCTCCCCCAGCCCCAGGCCTGAGGTCAGGGATGGGCCTAGGCAGCCGTCACGCCGGCACACACCTGAGCCGCCTCCAGAACTCGGGTTAAGTGCTACCATTTGCATAACTTCTCAACCCCACGGCTTTTCCAAGAATAATGGGCAGGTCCTGGGGTAGTTCCCAGTTGGTCGATTCCTTTTATACTCCAATGCACAGCGCCGACCAGCTGTGACAGCTCCAATTACAGGTTCAAAATCTCCGGGCCACAGAGCAGCTTTAGGTCCGGTTCCAGATAGAAGCACCAGCAGGACCCAAGGCCCACACACAGGCCCGGGAGCCGCTCTGGAACGCGACAGCAAGGTGACTGCGGGCTGGTGACTGCCCCTACACCCTCACCGTTTCTCAGGAAGTCAGCGACAGCCGTGGCCCAGCCACTCCCCCATCCCTCTCCAGCATCCCTGACCTTCAGACTTTCTTCCCCATCGCTACGTGTCTCGGAACTTTCACGTTTCATCAGGAAAATGCCAGCTCCCCAGCCAGGAAAGGCCTCAGTGGAAACTGAGGCCTCGGCCCTACCCTGGTCCCAAGTCCCTCCCACGGCCCCGTCCACCTTCCCCCGGCCCCGGGGTTAACGACGACCGGAAATCCTCCCCTCCCGGCTACCCGGGTCTCGCTATCCTGAGGACAGAGGCCTCGGAGGGGTTCCCCAGCTTGTGGGAGAACCCACGGCCGGGGAGCTGCCTGGAGGACGGCCACGCTGGGGAGACCCGTCCCGGGGAGCTGTTCGAGGGTACTTTGCTATCTCGTGTTTCACGAAAAGCATCTAAAGCTGGTAGACCCCACGACTTTCCCTTCCGTTTGCTCGTTCACGGGTCGCCATAACTCTCCTGGCGTCCGAGCTTCTTAAAGGCCCCCAGACTCTCAACACCGCAGGGCGGGTAGAGCTCAAGTCGGCCCCCGCGGAGAGGTCGGCCCCGTGCCCTGGGCAAGGAGCGCGAACTCAGGGGAGCCGGCGCCGGGCCACGACTCTAGCCCAGGTCGCAGCACAGCGACAA